AAATAGTGTTCATATCGATATCGGAATTATATCGTATCGACAAATTAAGAATGATGATTTTTGCCATATCGTCCAGCCCTAGTACCAAGGTGTCCTAGCATTGGATGCACAGGTGTATATCATCATAATTAACAATCAACATGCTGCACTAACCACAAACAAACAGTCAAGCAACACTGATTGTCTTCATGTTTTAAATTATATCTACTGTTGTATCATTAAACCCCTATGTTACTTTGAAATAATTACACTTGCTTTGATATTTTGCATCAATGGAATGACATTAATACATTTTATATGTGGTAAAGTTTTGAAATGCTCTTCAAGTTGCTATCCATTTTTGACATTAATATATTGAGTATGTGATAGTTATGATAATACAGTAACATAGGTATGTCTAACACTGATCTGGTGTGTGTGTTGGTGTGTGGGTGTGTGTTGGTGTGTGTGTGTGTGTGGGTGTTGGTGTGTGTGTTAGTGTGTGTGTGTGTTGGTGTTGGTGTGTGTGTTAGTGTGTGTGTGTGTGTGTGTTGGTGTTGGTGTTGGTGTGTGTGTGTGTGTTAGTGTTGGTGTGTGTTAGTGTGTGTGTGTGTTAGTGTTGGTGTGTGTGTGTGCGTGTTGGTGTGTGTGTTAGTGTGTGTTGGTGTGTGTTGGTGTGTGTGTGTGTGCGTGTGTGTTAGTGTGTGTGTGTTGGTTTTGGTGTGCGTGTTAGTGTGTGTGTGTTATTACAAACACGTACGTCTTTGTGTACAATATATATGTAATTTAGATGATGATGATTTAAATGCGAATGATTTATCATTGTATTTTAATCCAGGGGTACGTGAGGTAGGTCTGTGTCGTTCAGGTGTGTGCGTGCGTGTTAGTGTGTGTGTGTGTGTTTGTGCGTGTTGGTGTGTGTTAGTGTGTGTGTTAGTGTGTGTGTGCGTGTTGGTGTGTGTGTGTGCGTGTTAGTGTGTGTGTGCGTGTTAGTGTGTGTGTGTTGGTGTGTGTGTGCGTGTTAGTGTGTGTTGGTGTGTGTTAGTGTGTGTGTGTGTGCGTGTTAGTGTTAGTGTGTGTGTGTGTGCTAGTGTGTGTTGGTGTGTGTGTGTGTGCGTGCGTGTTAGTGTGTGTGTGCGTGTTAGTGCGTGTTGGTGTGTGTTAGTGTGTGTGTGCGTGTTGGTGTGTGTGTGTGCGTGTGAGTGGGTGTGTGCGTGTTGGTGT